TCTCTTAGTTCCTGTGCTGGTTGCTGGAGGCATCAAGATCAGTGGGACATTGTCCCTGACCTGGAGATACTCATGGGGCAAATGTATTCCTAAGGTTTGGTGAAATTGTTCTGTGTGCAGACCGTTACTGGAGCAGCAAACTGAAACACTGAGTTGGAGTCTTGGAGAAGTCTTCACCAAAGAGCTTTTACTTGATTTGGGTCTTAAAGGAGGAGTTGGAATTTGTTAGGGTTTTCATGGTGGACAGAAAAGAGAATAGTCAATTATGCCCAGATCCTTAAACTTCCTGGCAGGAAGTGACAAATAACATTTCCACTTATGTTCCCTTGGCTAATGCAAGTCACACCGTCATACCTAACTTCAAGGGGAGGGGAAGTATAATTCTACCAAATACCCATATGAAGACTGAGACAGAATATTAATGGTGAGACCTAAGGACTTCCACAGCTGGGTATTTAGCTCCTTGGCCAGAGCTCTTTCTAGAGAGTTGGTCATTTTGATTTAAAGCCACGACATTCCTCAGGTAATGGGGCCATAGTTGGAGTAGGACTGATTTCTCTTTGGGATCCTGGAGTTAAGTGGACATGTCTTGTATTAACACATGTCTGTATTTGATGCTTTGACATCTGGGGCCTTGAGGACCCTGGACAGGCTGCCCCTTCTAGAGTTAGTCAATTCCAAGAGATAGTAAACAGCTGTCCTGTGCATGTGTTTTAAAATGTAAACCAACCAGTCTGGAGCCCATACCACCAACCACCTCCTTGACTGAGCTCTCACACACCAGGCCACTATCCACCTGCCCTCATCACCCAGGGCCAGGTACCAGACAATTAACATCAGTCCCTAGGCCTGGAGCCCACTGAAATTATTCGAACTAGCCAATCCTAAGTCTGCTTACCCTACCTCACCTATTCTTTTTCCACGGGAAACCACAGTAAATGCTTTTGCCCACACTTTTCCCCTCTCCCTCTGCCTCTGAACAATGCATATGCTTCCTCGTGTGCCCCACCCCATCCCACCTCCATAGCGTGGTGTGCCTCCTCTTGGGAACTGTGAGTAACAAACTGTCTTTTCAATGGCAACTGTCTCCTGATCTGTTTGCCTTGTCATATCTAAATAGTAAAACATATTAAGGCATATGTATATTCCTGATATCTCAGCTCTTCATAATACTAGATGCTGAGAACTGGGAGATGTACAGGAAGATATTCTGGGTCCCCAAACTGGGTTGCTGAAGGCAGAAAATGGCCAAGCTGTCTTTAGCCAGCTGGTTACTTGCTGAGACCTGAGACTCCCCTCTCACATATTCTGTATGGAGTCAAAAGGAAGAGAGGGAGGATTAAGCCCCACTCTTATCCTGAGGACAGCAAAGGAGGCTGGATATTTCTTTGGGGGAAAGTGAGTCATCAACTTCCTATCTGATCAATTGCCAACATGAAAGGGCAAGTCCAGCTTTGGATCTGCATGACTTCCTTGCAGGGCTCCCTGTTGGCCTTCCCAGAGACCTCCTTGGTGCTGACGCTCTCCTTAGGGAAGGGAGTGGACATAGGGAAGAGACAACATCATGGTGTTGCTGCTGCCTGCAGACACTTAGAGAAGTCAAATGGTTGCCTGGAGCTGACCCGTTGCACGTGGGCCTCCATACTGTGCTGGCTGTTGTTATATAGCTCTGGTCAGAGTTAGTGCGACCAGGACTGTGGAAGTAAGGGCAGTGAGAAGTGCTCCAGGTGGGATTTCTAGGCTTATGTACTGCTAATTGGTCCTGCTATTAACACTGTGATGCTGAGCATTCCTCTCTGGGCCTTACTCTTCTCATCTGCAAAATGGATACAGCAGTCTTATTTCCTGACCCACAGGATTCCCGTGGAGATTGACCTCCCCAACCCACAGCAGACATATCTACAAAAAGGGACAAAACAACATAATGAAATTAAACAAACAAAAACTATAGCAGGCGCTATCATTAATGGTGAAATGCTGATAGCTTTCCTTCTGAGATCAGGAAAGAGACAAGGATGCCTGCTATTATTACTTCTTTCCAACACTGTACTGGTAATACTAGCCAGTGCAACAAGGCAAGAAAAAGAAATAAAATGTATAAGGATTGAAAAAGTAGAACTCTCATTTTTACGGATGAGATAGAATATGGCATATTTTTTTAAAAGCTAAAGAATCTACAGATAAATTGTTAGAATGAGTGAGTTTGGCAATGTTGCTGAATACAAGGGCATTATACAAAAATCTATATACGTTCCACATCTATATTACCAAGTAACAAATCACCCCAAAACCTCATAGCTTAAAATCACAATAATGTTTTATTATCTCTCATGGTTTCTGTACATTTTGGATTCAGGGAGGGATCAGCTAGGGTTTTTCCAGGTTTTTTCATATGGTTGTAGTCAAACAGTAGATGGAACTGGAACAGTAGGGGGGTGATCCAACTGGGGACTGGTGAGTCATCTTACTCTTTGAGTCTCAGGTTCTTTGCATATGGATTCTATGTGTAGGTTATTTCAGACTTCTTTAAAGTACAACAGCCCCAGATTTCTTACATAGTGGCTTCTGGTTCCAAAGACAAATGTCCAAGAGAAGGAGCCAGGCAGAAGTTGTATCAACTTTTATGACCTAGACTCAGAAGTCATGTGTCATTTCTGCCATATTACATTTGTTGAAAACCATTCACTAAACCCATCCCTTTTATAGGGGAAACTTATTAGACTCCACTCCGTGGAAAAGTGAAGGAATTTGTTGACTTGTTTTAAAACTACTGCACTTTATTTACCAAAAACAGAAAAATAAAAAGCCATATAAAGAAACTATTTATAATAATATCAAAGATATAAAACACTCAGGACTAAATCTAATAAAAGACATGTAAAGGCTCTACATAGAAACTTAAAAAAAAAAAAAAGTGAGGCATGTGGGTGGCTCAGTCGGTTAAATATCCAGCTCTTGATTTCAGCTCAGGTCATGATCTCAGGGTTGTGAGATCAAGCTCTACATCAGGCTCCATGCTCAGTAGGGAGTCTGCTTGAGATTCTCCCTCTCCCTCTGCCCTCTCTAAATAAATAAATAAATCTTAAAAAAGAAAGAAAACTAAAACATTCCTAAGAGAAAATGAAAAATGAAAAAAATGAAAAAACCTAAACAAATGAAGGGACATACCATGTTTATGGATAGCAAGACTTAATACTGAAAATGTTGATTTTACCCAAATTGATCAAAAGAGTCAATGTGATAGCAACATAGCAATCAAAATCCCAGCAGGATTTTGTGTGTGTGTGTGTGTGTGTGTGTGTGTGTGTGTGTGTGTGTGTGTAAACAGACAAGCTGATTTTAAAATGTCAGTAGAAGTGCAAATATCAAGAATAGCCAAGATAGTCCTGAAGGTAAACGTGTGTAGATCTATTCTATGGGGCACTTCCTATAAAGCTACAGAAAATCAGACAGTATGATAATGGCATAAGGACAGAAAAATAGGCTAACGGGACAGACTGGAGAATTCAGAAACAATCCATAGACATATGGATGACTTGATTAATAACAAAGTTAACACTGCAGAGAAGTGGGGGGAAAGGTGTTCTTTTCAATAAATAGTGCTGGGTCAGCTGGATGTCCAGATGGAAAAAAAAAGTAGAGGGGCCAATGGGAAATTCCTTCTGATGAGATTCGGCAATGTATTTCTAGAAACAATGACTGCTGAAATTTATTTGGAAGTTCTTTCCTTTCTGAGCAGTAATTTCCCTCTGCTGTTCCCAGACCTAGCTCGCAGTCAGGACCAACAAAGCTCAAGTAGCAGTTGGGAGCTAAGTTCCAAGCTGGCTCCTGAGTGGGCAACAGGCTCACTCCCTTTTCTCCAAATAGCATCACATGTCCAGCTGCCACCCAACAATCCCATTCTGACCCACTTCTGCCTCCTGGCCTCCTGGCACTTCCCAGCCAGGCATCCCAGTGTGCCAGAGCAGTGGTGCAGTAGTCAGTAGGGGTGAGGAAGTGGGGACTGCTAGTGTAGACAATTCTACAATCTGTAGATGAGAAGGGGAGGAGGAACAGGCCAGCTCCCACAGGTGATGTGAAGAGCTAGGGGGCTTTTTTCTCTGGGAGAAGGAGCCTGCTTCAGTCACCTTTCTGCTCCACCATGAGAGCCATTCCATTTCCCGTTCTCTATCTCCAGGAGAAGTTGGGGTAGGGGTCGGGGTGGGGTGGGTAGATTCTGGACCCTCAGAACTTCAATTTCCAGGCCCTTTCTATCGCCCGCCCTCTCCCTTTCATTAAAGGATACAGGGTCCTCTGCCTTCTCCCAGTTGTCTCAGACTTAGATCCTCGGGAGCGGTGGGCCCGCTCATTTGGAGCTTCATTACTGAAGTGACTGTCCTTGCTTCAGTTTCCTCAAACGTAAAGTGAGAGTTTAAGCTCAGCAACTCCCAGAGCCCCTCTCCCAGTGACTATGATCAGGATCAGTGGGACAAGGAGGGAGGGTCCGCTAAGATCAGCCGCAGGCGCTGGGCCGTGGTCCCCCAGGCAAGGCAGCACCCATCTTGGAAAGTGTACCTGTCACGGCCTTCCAACCCCGCCCCCACTTCCTAAATATGCCGGGTGGGCAGTGTCCCACTTCTGGGGAGGGCTGTCAAATGGGCTTCTCCTCCCCGCACCCTTGGTGGGGAAGGCGGGACGGAAAAGGGCCGTCTGAACGGGCGCACACCCTTCCCGGACCCCCGGGGGTGCAGAGCCCGGCGAGGGACCTGGCGGCGGCCCACCCCGAAGGATGGGACTCCTCCCCTGGGCCCGGGCCCCCGGCCCTCCGCGGCGCCCGAGGCCGAAACAATAGCGCGCGCGGGCGGGGCGGGGGCGGGGGCGGGGCGCTCTGCCGGGCCCCGCCCCCGGCCCGCCCCCCGCGCTCGCACACCCGCTCGCACACTGGCTCCTACCCGCCGCCCGCCCAGGCACTGCCCGCGGGAGCCGCCGCCGCCGCCGCCGCCGCCGCCGCCGCGCCCGCCATGGACGTCCGCCTGTACCCCTCGGCGCCCGCGGTGGGCGCGCGGCCCGGCGCCGAGCCGGCCGGCCTGGCACACCTGGACTATTACCACTGCGGCAAGGTAGGCGGGGGCCGGGGGTGGGCGCCGAGGCGGGCGCGGCCTGCCCGCGCCTTCGGACCTCGCGCCGCGGCGGGAGCGTCCCGGGCTGGAGTGCGGGGCAGGAATCACCTGGCGGCTCGGGACGGGGCACTCTCGGAGACCCACGGGGGTAGGTGCCGGCGGTGCCAATGTGCGGAGACCCTCACGCGCCAGCCCCGCCGACGGGCACATGCCACTCACATAGATAACCTCGCCGTTACACTCATGCCCTGAGTTATTCCGTTCACAGGCAGAAGTCACCTCGACAGTCACTCTCACGATGACACAGTGACACGTTCGCCCACGTCCCCCTGACAGCCTCACATTCATTCTCAGGCTGACACACAGTGACCCACTGTCACTCACATAGGCAGCCAAGCACCTACTTACGCTGTCTTACCGTCCCACACAAGTCACCCTAACAGTCATTTATACACAATGACATGGAGTCACTCACCCACGTACACTGTCACATCGCCACATACAAGTCACCCATTCACACAGTACGAGGCCACACACCCCGTTACATGTCCCCATCGCCTGTCACACCCAGTCACAGCTGGGGACAGTCACACAAAGAAGTTGCTCCGACAGTCAAACGCTCCCACTCACAGTCACTCACACGGGCGCACACTGTCACGCACAGCCACCCATGCACAGTGGACCTGAGACACACTCAACGCCTGGTCGTCACACAGCCGCATGCGGTCACGCCCAGCCCCCGCGCCGCCCCAGCCCTCACCCCGGTCACCAACTCGCGCGTCCGGGCTTTAACTTCCCGGCGCCGAGGCGCACTAACTGGCGGTTCACTAATTGGCCGTCACTGCCCGGCGGGGCCTGGGATTCCGAGCTGGCAATGGACAGTCTAAGCCTGACCCCTCCTGGGAACGGTGAGCGGGAGTCCGTCCAGGTCCCTCCAGGGACAACCCCCCCCCCCCCGCCCGCCTTTTCCGAGGTCACAGCCCGCAGCCGGGTCCCCGATGCTCTGCCAGGCGCGTCCTCCCGATGGAAGCTCGCGTGCCCGGCATCCCGACTGGGGGGCGTCCGATCCCCGCTCCCCACTCCCAGGCCGGCCCGGGACGTTTAGGGGCAGCTGCACCATCAGCGTCTCTTCCCTCGATGGAGGGGGGGAACTTTCAAACTTAGTTAGAGAGCCAGACGGTGGGTGCGTCCGGCGGTGGGTCGGTCCGGCGGCCAGCGCGTCGGTCCCGGGCAGGCGGGAGCCCAGCGCGGCTTTATCGTCACTCGGAGCCCGGATTGAACGGCGCGCGTGGGTTTCCCCGGGGCCCTGGCGCAGACGCGCGGGCTCGGTGGCGCTGCGTGGTGAGTGAGCGTCGGGTGGTTGGATGGGCGGCCCTCAGGGTCTCAACCTTACCCCACCCACCGGCTTTACTGTAGTCCCTTGCTGTGTGGATGCTGCGGGAAGGGGGCGTCCCCGCGCCGAACGCGGGGCCTAGCGGCTGGGCCTCCCTGAGTGCGTCCCCAGGCCCTGGGGAGCGGCTTCTAGGGTCACAGGGCAAAGCCCTCCGCAATTTCCCCCGGGTGGGGAGTGGGATCCTGGGCCAGTAGACCCTGGCGGCTTCGGGGCGAGGTGGGCGGCGAGTGAGGTCTCGCAGGGGGTGGGTGTGATTATCTTTGTTCGGTGACCGGCAAAGTTAGAAGCTGAAGAAGGGGATGGTGTCCTGAAGAGACGGCCGGTTCTCGGGCTATTTCCAGTCTGATGGAGGGAAAATTGATTAAAGTAGCAGGTGGAGTCTTGAGAGAGGAGAAGACCTTTGGGTGCCCAGGGCAGCTGGACTGTTTTCTGCCCTTGGCTTTATTTTTTTGAATATTAAGTTGGCAAGGTTCCAGCCTCTGGTTTGGGGATGTGCGTGGGGATCCGGGATTTCTGGCTCAGTGGGGGGAGGGTGGGCGGGGTGTGGCCTTTAGCCCAGAGTGCTCCTTTTGCGGGTGATGTTTCTGTAAACCCCACCAGAGTAGGGTGGTCCCATCTGAGGGATTTCTGGGGGTGGGGTGGGGGGGTGGTCACCCAGCTGAGGCCCCTGCCTTTATTCTGAAGCTCTGTAAAGCTCTGACTCAGCACCAAGGACTAGTGTGAAACCTGGCCAGCGAGGGAACCACTCAGGGAATGAGAAGCTGGTGTTTCTGGTTTCTGTCTGTGATCTAGGACCCCTGGCCCAGAGCCAAGGGTGTGTCCAGGTGGGCCACCAAGTTAGGTGAGAGAAAGGTCTGACTTTGCCCTTGGGTGTGATACCTGCTTCTTAATCTTCAGGCTTGTGGCAGGATGAGGCAGGGGAAGTCACTTGGCTTAACTAGGAGTGGGTCACATGCCTCTTGGTAGCAGATCCCAAGTGGGCAGTCATCTTTAGTGCTGGTGGTTGGGAGGTAGGGTGCATTGTGACCAGGGTCTGATGGTGAGGGACTGGGGAGGGAAATGCCCAGGCTCCATTCTTACAAGTGATCACTGTCAGAACTGGAGCAGAAACTGAGGTCTGAGGGACAGCCATGACCACACTCAGGGCCAGGACACAGCCTGCACACTGGAGGATTGGTCCTTGCAGTGCACACAAGAGGCTTGCCCCCACAGGGACCTAGGCCTGAGAAACACAAGGGCAAACATTTGCCCAAGTGATCCTGGACAACTATGGGACAGCTGACCCGGAAGGGCCCTCGGCAACTGTTCCCTTGGTGACTGTCCCCTTATTGATACTCTACACAGAGATTCCAGCCACTTTAAACCAAAGTCATGAGCAGCGGCTGTTCTTTTTGTATCTTTTGTTTGAGAAAATACATAACTGCAAAAGCTGCTATGGTTTCATTTTTGCTTTGAAATAGATGTTATTTTATTAATCACAATAACTATTAACATGCATTTGAAAAGTAGCTTACCAGATATGTGGCAGGCGTATTGCTCATTTCATGTAGCAACAGTGCCTCAGTGAGGATAGGAGCTTATGGCCCTGGGACTCCCAGGATCTGTGGCCCCATGCTGGGAACCACTGATCCTCTCCTTCTTCCTCGATTCCCAGAAGGGGAAACTGAGTCACAGGATAGTGAACTTACAGCTTACATAGCATGTGAAGAGCAGAGTTGAGGCCTGAACCCAAGTTTCTTGACTCCTAGCTTGACGCTTTAGGTGCCCTCCCCTCAAGTCTCTGTCATGGTTTAAGGACTAGGGAGAGAATGTGACACTCTTCCTTGGGTATCTGTGAAGTCCCTTCATTCAGACTTTGGCAAGGCACTTACCAGGCTCAGGGCATTGCCTGGGGTCCCCCACTCCACTATGGCAGGCTAGTGGAAACTGGCCATTGGAACCGGGCAAACGTGGGTTCAAATCACCAGTCGTGGCTTTGTGATCTAGGGCAAATGATAGCAACTCATTTTTTACTGAGATATGATTGACACAAAATAAAGTGCAAATTTCAGGTGCATAGTTCCATGAGTTTTGACAAATATGAACACCTGGATAACCACCATCCCAATCCAGATTTTGCTCATTTTCCATACCCCAGAAAGTTCCCTCATACTCCTTTCCAGCCCACAGTCTTTCCCGCCTCTACAGGAAACGACTTATCTGATTTCTATTATCGATTCTTTATGTTCAGTTTCAGTGTACCAAGTATACTTAAGTTCTAGAATTTCATATGCAGCATATACATCCTTGCATCTGGTTTCATTTTGCTCAAAGTATCAAGATTAATCTGTATTGTGTATATCCATAGTTCTGTTTTATTGCTAAGTAATATTACCTGGTATAAATGTAGCTCAATTGGTTTATCTGCTCACTTGCCAATGGATGTTTGGGTTTGTTTGCAGGTCGGGGCCATTATAAACAAAGCCTCTGTGAACATTTTTATACAAGTCTTTTCGTGAGACTTTGCATGTCTAATGAGCTCCCCGGTGATGCTACCGGCGGTCCAGCGACCACACTGTGTAGCAGTGGTTTGGTTGTTTGTGTACAGGTTTCTGTGGGCTCCCAGCATCTGGCACAGTGCCTGACCCACAACTACTCAGGAAATGAGTGCGTGGGTAAATGATGCAACTCCCCACCCACACAGCTCTGGGCACAGCATCTTGTATCTTGATGGGATCGACACAAGCCCGGCTAGTGAATGATCGGTGCCTCCTTGGGACGAAAACCCAAGGGGTGGGAGGTGCTGTCCCCACCTCACCTCTACTTAACATTTATGAGGCCTGCTTAGCATTTCTGGTGGCTGAGGTCCCCACTGCTTCTTTCTGCAGGGACACAGGTGGCTGTGGGTGGGACCCGTGGGCGGACCTGGGCCAGGTGAGCTCTGAGCTGAGATGGCTGGTTCCGGGGACTCTGGAGGATGGGAGGCAGCTCTTCTTTACTTTCTGTCTAAATGTGTTTCCCATAGCCCCTCCCCTAGTCTGTCCTGAGGGTCCTTTTGGCCAAACTTCTGTATGTTATGCATGTCAGGAGCCACAGCCTGGGCCTGGCACTGCTGCCCCCAGTCCGCTGGGTGATGTTGAGCGTGACCGTGACCTTCTCTGGGCCTCTGTTTCCCTCTTGGCAAAGGGAAAGCAAATCTGTGAACATCAGTCTAGTGAGATGGTGAGCTGTGGTAAGGAGAAGTAATGAACGAAGCCTGGGCATGTCTTTTATAATTGTAAAGTGTAGTACCCCCAGGAAGGATGAGGGTGCTACTTTCAGAGGAGATGTGCCCTCCTATGCTTCAGAGGGCATGAACCACGGTGCCTATCTTTGCTTTTGTATTCCCAGAGCTGGCCTGGCACATAGTACTCAATAAATATTTGCTGAATGAACGAATGCATTAATGAATTCAGGGCTTGCCAGTTTTCCTCTGTAGCTTCAGGAACTAAGCATCTCTTTGGCTCTTTTAAGATATCAGTGAGCACATCAAATCCAGGGCAGAGCAGGGGCCAAGAGTCTCTTGGCTGACCTGTCTTTCCCAGAGGAGCTTGCCCAAGTAGGACCAGAGGACAGAGCCCAGCACAGA